ACAGCATAAAAAAGCGAAGTGAGAGGAGAAAAAGAGATAATTAAAAAGCCTCGGCCCCAGCCGAAGAAGCTTACCATCCTTAAACTTTCGGCTGAGGCCAACAGATGCTAGCATGTTCTCTTGGAAAACATAATGCGTATCGGGGAGACAAGTCTCCGGGATATGCTGCATTCGGCCGCTGCCCCCCGGTTCGGCAGCTTGCCGAAGATATGTTGTTGATCAAGGTTCGGATCCGGCTCGTTATCTGCGGGGGGACCTAGACTTCCCATGTCGGGATCAGGCTCAGCAAGGTACCGGGGAGCGCTGAAGACGCAAGGGTGGCCCGGATCTGTGGGTGCCCTAACCCAAATCCATTGACCTCTCCAGTCCTTGTCTGAAGAGTCGTTCGGCCACATGGTTAGGTACTGGGGCCGGGACTCAATCTGGTACCACCCAGAACCATGGCTTCCGTGCCCACTTTGAATATTTGGCACTAGCCGATGAAGCTTTTTGAAGCAGTGCAGGTTCGGCACATACTTGAAGAACTTGCAGACCCATAAGTATGTCATCACCCTTCGGATGCTGGTGGGAGTTAACTGACATAGGGAGATATTGTAATGGATCAGCAAGTCTCGGACGAATACGTCCAAAGGGAACCTCAGCCCGTACTGAAGCTGTCTTGTGTACACCCCCACATACCCCGGGGGTGGACGATGGATTCTATCAGATGCCGCGGGCATTCGGCACCAATACCCATCAGCTTCAAAAATGCCGTAATGCAACTCAATTTGCTCGGCAAACCGATATTGTTCGGCATTCTCCACCCACCATGAGTAGGGGCGGTTCTTTATCATGGCCGAAGCTACTTCGGCATTCTCCCACTCTGAAAACCCGGGGAGGATATCCCAAAGGACAGCGGGAACTTCATCGTCCCGTCCAGAAGCGCTCGGCCCCTCCGTTCTCTGAGGAGGAGCCGAGGAAATTGGAGTCGCCCTAATCCCTTCAGCAGGGTCAGACTCTGGCCTTTGTCCATTCCAGGTCCCAATCTTGTTCCTAGGATCGGGAATTGGCCTTGCTCTTCTTGGAGCACAGGCTCTACCTCTAACTCCTCTTGCCATTGATTATTTCGAAGAAAAAAGTCGAAAAAAAAGGGAAGGAGTTCGAATTCGAAGAAAAATAAACTGAAATCAAAGGAATTTACCTTAATCTGAAGCGAAAGTTGCCGATTTACGAGTTCGTAGTGGCAAGTCTCAGTTTCTAAGCTTAATGCTCGGGGAATTTGCGAAGTTTTGATGCGGGTTCTTGGTTTCTCTCGAGAATTCTGGGTTTGTGTTGGTGAATAAGTGAGGAGAGATGACGCGCCTCTGTTTATATCTCCAGGAATGGGATACGGGGAGTCCGCGTTTCAATTTCTCTTAAATACCCCACTAAGTAACCGTTAAACACACGATCTTGTGATTAAACTGCCCATTATCCGTCCAACTTCCACAATCATCCGCCTTCACCGTTGTTATCTCGTTAATTACGGTTTAAATTCAAATTTTTGGATTAATTAAATCATTTACTTCCCTCCTTTTCTGAATTAAATCAAACCCGACCCGTCATCCTTCCAAATCGGGTCTGGGGGGCAAGTTGTTTGGGTCCAATTTAGTCCAATTGGGCCTAGGCATTAAATGATTTAATTAAAAGCCCAAGGTCAAGGTTCAACTCTCCAATTGTGCTAAAGTCAAAGGTCAGCCCTCAAAGCAAGCCAATTGGGCTAAAGCCCAACCTCTCCATGTATGAAGAGGTATAAAAGCCATCAATATTCATACATTCAGGGATATATTGACAGATTCACATATTCTCATAGATTCCCATACATTCTCATATATTCAAGCAAAGCCTCAAGCAACTAATTCTCTTGCATAGTGTTCTCTTTCTACACATTGTACTGACTTTAGCATCGGAGGGGCCTTCCTCGGCAACACCCCCGAGGCTAGTTTACGTGTGTTTACTGTGCAGGAAACCTTCGGCCCAGCATAACTTGGACCGAATCCAGTCTTCTCCGTTTCAGCGGACCTTCGGCAAGGTCCCATTGTTTTCACCCGAAACAGGCACGTTTATGACTTTCGTTACAAAACTATATACTACGTATAATGAACACTTGATTGGATACAAGCAACATTTTTTGTTTTGTTAAAATTATAGCAGTCTTTTCCTAAGCTAGTATCTTAATTCCTAAGAGGAAGAACTTAAATGGTTTGATTATTAGAAACTTACTCGGTGTAGTAGTCCTTCTTCATGTTGTGACCGATGGAAGAAATTGTTCCTCTGGCCAGTGACCACCTCCAAGATTATGACCCCGAAACTATAAACATCAGATTTTACAGAAAATTGACCTGCTAATGCATATTCTGGAGCCATATATCCACCGCATCATCATAACTAGGATATTATTAAAATGTTTATGTATGTAGACCACTTGTCACGAAATAATTTTCCGTAGTTTTCATTAGAGTGTAGAGAAGAGTATTTATACAAGTAATTAGGGCACATGAAATAGGCCCGTTAGCTATATGATATGTACACTAAATATAGGCCCTAACACCCCCCTTCAAGTTGGAGCATGCAAGTCACAAATGCCCAACTTGCCAAGTAAATACATGAATTGACTTTTACTCAAAGCCTTGGTAAATAAATCTGCCAATTGATCTGTTGTCTTCACATAAGATGGACTAATGATACCATCCTGAATCGCATCACGAAGATAATAACAATCCACCTCAATGTGCTTTGTACGCTCATGGAAAACCGGATTCTTCGCAATATACAAAGCAGATTGATTATCACAAAGCAAACTCATAGCACGAGGATGCGAAACACCCAAACTCAGAAGAAGAGCCTTCAACCATTTCAACTCATCAGTAGTTTTAGACATTGAGCGGAATTCGGCCTCCGAAGAAGATTTGGCCACAGTGTCCTGTTTCTTAGTCTTCCAGGATACGGGAGAAGCACCAAGAAATACCAACCAGCCAGTGATGGAACAACGCGACAAGGGACAACCCGCCCAATCTGAATCGCACCAACCTGTAATATGTAAATCACAATCGGAACTCAAAAGAATTCCCTGACCCGGACATCCCTTAAAGTACCGGACTGTACGAAGAGCTGCTTCCCAATGGTCCTGTCGCGGTTGTTGCATAAATTGAGATAAAATATGCACCGCGTATGCCAAATCCGGTCTAGTAAAAGACAAATAAATCAGACGACCCACAAGTCGCCGATACTACTCTGGATCAGAAAGCAAACAGGACTCAGATTTCGCCAGAGTATGATTCTGCGCAATAGGAGTACCTGCCGGACGAGCACCTAGCAAACCAGACTCTGCAATAATGTCAAGTGTATATTTCCGGACTACGAGCAACCTCAACACCAAGAAAATACTTCAAAACACCCAATCTTTCATATGAAAACAGTCACTCAAGTATGACTTGAATGTCGAAATCGCAGAAGAATCATTACCAGAAATTATCAAATCATCAACATAGACCAGAACACTAAGTTGAATAGACCCAGATTGCAGAGTAAAAAGAGAATAGTCAGAGTACGATTGCACAAATCCGACCTTTTCAGAGAGGCGGCCAATTTAGAGTACCAACAACGAGGTGCTTGTCGAAGACCATACAACGATTTCAGAAGACGACACACCAAACCAGATTGAGAACCATAAAACCCAGGGGGAAGCTTCATATACACTTCCTCATCAAGATCACCATGAAGAAATGCATTGTGGACATCCATCTGATGCAATTCCCAATTCTTTGCAGCAGCGACAACAAGAAAAGCCCGAACATTGACCATTTTAGCCACAGGAGCAAAAGTCTCATTGTAATCAATACCCTCAACCTGATGATTACCAAAGATAACAAGACGAGCCTTCAATCTCTCGAGTGTGCCGTCAGAATTAAGTTTGACCTTGTAAACCCATATGCACCTAAGAGCTTTCTTGCCCGGAGGTAAGTTTTCCATTACCCATGTTCCATTGTTTTCCAATGCATCAATTTCTTTTTGCATTGCCTCTTTCCACCCCTCATCTTGCATTGCCTCCTTGCAATTACGAGGCTCAACCATCGTGTCAATAGCTACAATAAATACACGGTGTCGCACAGAAAATTTATCACAATTCACAAAATGTGCTAAAGGATAGGGAGTATCTGAGGAGCATGGAGTAGACGATGAACACTGAGAGATAGATAGACTAGGAAGAGATATAGTGTGAGCAACATAATCACGATGCCACCCCGGTGCTTGCCTTGGACGTTGACTACGGTCCAACACAAGAGAAGAAGAAGAATCAGTGGTAGGCGGAGCAGCCACCTCATGACTGTCCGAATCAGTAGCAGAGGCAGTAGACGCCCCATCAGAGTTGGTGGTGGCAGTGTCCTTGGCAGAGGACAACGCTGGAGAACTGTGGGCAGGAGAGGCCATGGTCTGGTCGTGGTTGGGGCTAGTAGGAGTGTCGTGCAAAATGGCCTCTTCTCCAACCTCCAAAACATACTCCAAGTCATCCAAGAAATCACTATCAACCCCAACAACCTCGGGTGACCCCCCCTCAACACCCAAACCCGATTCCACATGATCAGAAGTAAACGGAAACTCGTTCTCATGAAATTTCACATCACGAGATACAAAAATGTCACCAGTGTCTAAGTCATAGCATTTCCAACCTTTCTTCCCATGAGGGTATCCAACAAATACACATTTTCGACTTCGCGGGGCAAATTTGTCACCCTTTGCCCTTTGATTGTGAGCAAAACATAAACACCCAAAGACACGCAACTCATCAAAGATTGGTGGTTTAGCAAAGAGTATTTCATATGGAGTCTTATTGGCTAACAAAGAGGAAGGAGTACGATTAATGAGATACACCGCCCCAAGGACACACTCACCCCAAAAAGAAATCGGCAAATTGCCTTGAAACATCAAAGCACGACTCACATTCAATATATGCTGGTGTTTACGTTCTACCCTACCATTTTGCTGAGGGGTACTGACACAAGAGGTTTGAAAGAGAATACCATTTTCATCAAAATAAGGAAGCATGGGTTTGAATTCAGTTCCATTATCACTCCGCACACATTTAACAATGATATCAAATTGACATTTAACCATAGCAAAGAAAGAGCAAAAAGAAGAATAAACTTCAGTTTTGTCATTTAATAAGTAAACCCAAACACCACGGGAAAAATCATCAACAATCGTCAAAAAATAATGAGCACCACAAGAAGAAGCCGTGTTATACAGTCCCCACAAATCACAATGTATCATTTCAAGAATACGACTAGCACGACTATCACTATCAGGAAAACTGTCTCGGGTTTGTTTAGCTAGAGGACAAATTTCACAAGCTTTATGTAAACACTTAGTACCTGTACTACCTCGAATAGCAGGAAGCAATTTGACAATTTTCTGAAGGATGCCCCAAACGACGATGTCACAACTCAAATGTAGAAGTTTCGGGACCCGTAAGAGCACATACTTTTGGGATACGCCTGAAATAATATAGACCATCTATCCGTTCACCACCTCCAATTAAGCTCCCCGAGGATTGATCCTGTATAGCACAAAGAGAATTAGTGAATCAGACAAAGCAATTAGAATCATCAATCAATTTAGACACCGAAATTAAATTGCAATTCAATTGTGGAACAAATAGAACATGTTCAAGAGTAATGCCATCCGCCAAGACAACACGACCCTCCTTAGTAGCCATGGCCTTAGCACCATCGGGAAGACCAACAGGACAAGGGATAATAGAATGATCATCTTGTAAAAAACTATCATTGCCGGTAACATGGTGGGATGCACCGGTGTCAATAATCCATGAGAAAGATAGAGGAGCACTAGTCATAGAATCCATAGGAGAATCAAATACACCCAAAATAGAAGAGGCATTAGTAGTAGTATTAAACCGAGAACATGCAGCAGCAAGAGAGGAAGCATCAGCCGCGGGGTGGGGTCGCGGGATATCCCCGCGGCCTGGCAGAATGTCAAGGGTTGTAGCAGCACCCGCAGGACAGACCCGCAGGTTATCCCCGCGTCCTGGCGAAGGGTGCGATAGGGGAAGCAACGAAGGTGCAGCGGGAGAAGAAATGGCAGCGGCCGGAATAGGAGCAGTCGCCGGAACAGTAGCAGTCGCCGGAACAGCAGCATCGGCCGGAGAGGAAGAACGCCCCTTATGACCATATTTTTCCAGCCACCAATCGGGGAGGCCGTGGACAAGAAAGCAACCGTCAAAATTATGTCCCGATCGATTGCAGTGGGTACAATTTAATTGGGACTTAGATAAGAAAGAAGAAGATAATCCACCATTCACCATTGTTGAGAGATAGAATTGTATAGCAGGTTGAGAAAAAAAAAATAGAGCAGCAATTTAGAGTCCAAATTTCAGAGTAAGAATATAGAAATTCAGCAATTTAGTATAGCAATTCGGCAATCCGGCAATGTAGAGTACCAATTGAGAATAGAAATTCAGAGTAAAAATTTCAGAAATTTAGAGTAGAAGGTTAGGGATTTTAGTGGTTAGAGTGTATTGGCTCCGATACCATGTCACGAAATAATTTTCCGTAGTTTTCATTAGAGTGTAGAGAAGAGTATTTATACAAGTAATTAGGGCACATGAAATAGGCCCGTTAGCTATATGATATGTACACTAAATATAGGCCCTAACACCACTGCTAGACAAAAGTTGTAAATTGGTACTAGTACTTACTATGTTCCTACAATTCTCTTGGTGTCCCCTTGAGTTTGATCCACTCTGAAAAGCTTAGCAAGGCCAAAGTCAGCAATTTTTGCATTCATTGCCTCATCAAGTAGTACATTGCTGGATTTTAGATCTCGGTGTATTATCTTCAATCGCGAGTCTTCATGAAGATATAAAAGTCCCCTTGCTATTCCGGTGATGATTTTAAACCTTGTTTCCCAGTCCAATGACGCACACTTCAATGGGTCTGTGATTGACTTGTTAAACGCAGTATTGAGGGAGATTCAACATTCATAAACTTTATATAGCTGTTAAAAAATGGATACTCTAAACAAGAATGGATATGATATAAGAAGCGATCAAGACTTGAATTACGCAGGAACTCGCAGACAAGTATTTTTTCCTTTTCTGAGATGCAGAACCCCAGTAATTTAACTAAGTTTCGATGTTGAAGCTTTGCAACTAAAAGAACTTCATTCTTGAATTCTAAGGTTCCCTGTTCAGAGTATTCTGAGAGCCTCTTTACTGCTATTGCTTGCCCGTTTTCGAGTGTTCCCTGTATGATTTATGAAGAAAATACACCCATTAATTACTTTTTTCCTACAGTTAACACTATGTTTGACTGCAAATCTGATTACAACTATTATATTCTTACCATCATTTTCAGTAAGATGCTTGTTCAGGCATATCATATCAAACAATAGAGTAAAATAGAAAGAGTGAAATATTTCCTATACAAGTATACAATTGTTGCATTGGATAATTTCTAATTCTCCTAATACCTGTGGCCATCAAGGGATTAAAATGATTCCGAGTGAACATAATTAAAGAATCAATAAGCTACAAAATACGAGTACCTTATAGACCTCACCAAATCCACCCCTTCCAAGTTTGTTATCTTCAGAGAAGTTGTCTGTTGCGGCCTTAATTGTGTTGAAGTCGAATTGCAATGATTCCACATTATTCTTGATGTCCTCCATATCATCTATTACAATATGAATTTGGTCAGGGAGCCTATAATAATATAAAATAATGATGTGGATAGAATAGATTGGTATTAGGGTGTGAAAATTTCTATTACAAACTTACCTTGAGATGATTCATGAGCTGATGAATTTCTGAGTATTACCTCCGATCTCATTTTGATTGACTTTCTCCTGTATAACCAAAACCGTGTAGCGGATAGAAGTAGTATTACTCCAATCGCAGAGCATATTGCTATTGCACCAATTACATAAGATGCACTCAATGACTTCCTCCGCTTCCCTGTACCTAAAGATAAAAACAAAACAAAAAGGTTTAAGCTACTTGATTCTACTTATAGACACAGTATGAGAAAATAACCGGGATCAATATGTAAGACCTCTGGATTGTGATGTCAAAAAACTCGCATTATAGAAAATAGTTGTGTCATACATCAACTGACACCCCGGCATAAAGATCGAGAGAGCTGATTCATTACGATAACCATCAAATATTTTGTTGACAGCCTGTTTTAGGCAGAAGGCACACTGAGGTCCGTTAAGGTCAGAAGCGCATTGTGCAAGACTGTACAACCTCTGAGATGAAGAGGGTAAAGGTGCATTTTTTATAGAAAAATGAGATGTACTGTTAACAGTATCCTTGATCAAGTCATTGACTGTCGTTGCCAGCACTGCTGCAAATTCAGTATAGTTTGTTAAGGGCTTTGATATAGGAAAGTAAATAGAATATAGTTCTGTGTCATTCAAAGAGATGGAACTGTTTTCAAACCGCAAACTACATTCCATATACCACACCACAGCTTGTTTATAAAGGGGACACTTTACATTCATCCACTCGACTGCAACATCAACACATTCGCTGCAAACTTGTATGCTTAAATCCTCCCGGCATTGAAACAACCCATATACTTTGTTAGGCGTTTCACCAACTGTGGAATTATAAAACTTGACATATGAGGCTTTCGAGGAAAGATTAGACAATAGTTGATAGACATTTCCCGCATATTCTCTATCCAGAGTTACATTTCCAAATTCGCCATAACACATATCAATGACCTGTACGACATCAGCACTGATACTATTCAATTGAATGAATAGCAAAGGAATAACTTTCCAAATAATGAATCTGGAGTGCAGCTGGATGTCTTTCAGAGTCATGATGAATATAATCTCTCTAAACGTTCATCAAAGCTAGCCCATTAAGTCTAAGAATTCGAAATAATAACACATCAATCAATAATAGATCAATTTTGAAGTTTACCCTGTAATCCTGTATTCAATATGATGTAGAAGGGTATGACTGGTTGTTTCTAATTTTTTTTTTCATTCATTCTCCAAGTGTTCCAGCAGAATTAGTCTGTAAACAAAGTTTAGTAGTAGTCACGACTCGAACATATTTGATTTTTCTAACTGACCTTGTGCTCAACATACCTTCAAACGTGTTCTGACTCCTTCTGAGATACAGTGATCCAAAAACATCCTCAAATATACACTTTGGACGAATCAATGGTCTAAATTATATATATTTTACCAACTTGCTTTAGCAAGAAATTAGGTGAACAGGTCTAATATATTGCAATTTGTTTATAATTTGCTAGACCTTGTCTCTTTAATTTGGGTTGGATACTTCAACCCGAAACTGACACACTTAACTGGTTTATTCAAATGAGAACATTGAACCCTTAAGACAAATTCAAATCGTTAATTAAAATAATCAAACATCAAATTATTCAAAAACAAAATAAAAATTGCTAGCCATTTCATTGGCAATCCTGTTCCAAGTAAAAGAGGTCATGAAAACTATATATAATAGGAGTAAACGAAGAAAAGATCAATATTCATTTATCATAGGAAACAAGGTATCGTCCTTTACAAATTTGTGTCTTGCTAGCTCCACATTCATAGATATAATATTTGCAAGGTGATAAGAATTGATAAATACTGCATTTTGTTTTATTATCTGGGACAGAATTCTGTGATATTCCTGGTTCCTGTATATTCATTAGTAATATGATTGTCAAAGAGTGGTTGGTCTTCATCAGTGTCAACATTAGCTGCAAGGAAGTGGGGAGTGTTGGGTAAAGGTAGAATAACTGACTGCCTGTTCAATGCTGCAACAACCGAGGTCATTCGAGGCCTTTTAGTTACATCTTCTTGTATGCAGAGTAGACCTATGTGGATGCACATTTTCACTTCTTCAACCAAAAAGTTGTTCTCTAATGAAGGGTCTACCAGCTCTAGCACAGCCTTCTCGTTCCAAAGCCTCCACGCCTGTGTAATGATTTTGGCATGTTTATGACTCAAGTTCCAAAATTTTATTTCATTACTTGGTGTTTGGATATAAAAATTTACGTTTCCCATAATTTAATTTGCAACTTCCTAGTTATACTATCATCTCTTGAAAGATGCAGAAACTAATTGTGTGGTACTAAGCATGCAAACAACTTTTTCTGTTTTGTACTAAACAAACACTGCTAGTATCTTAATCCCTAAAAGAAAGATGTTAAATGATTTAATATATATGAAACTTACTCGGTGTTGTAAACCCTCTTCATGTTGTTGACGGAACATATTATTCCTCTGGCCAGTGACCACCTCCAAGACTATGACCCCGAAACTATAAACATCAGATTTTACAGAAAATTGACCTGCTATTGCATATTCTGGAGCCATATATCCACTGCATCAGCATAACTAACACATTAATAAAATGTATGTATAGATATGGTTCAAGAGGATATAATACTGCACAAAAGTAATTAATTGGTGCAAGTACTTACTATGTTCCTATGATTCTCTTGGTGTCCCCTTGGGTTTGATCCACACTGAAAAGCTTAGCAAGGCCAAAGTCAGAAATTTTAGCATCCATTTCCTTGTCAAGTAGTACGTTACTGGATTTTAGATCCCGATGTATTATTTTCAGTCGCGAGTCTTCATGAAGATATAATAGCCCCCTTGCTATTCCGATGATAATTTTAAACCTTGTTTTCCAATCCAATGATGCACGCTTCAATGGGTCTGTGTGAGACGAATTTGTCAAATACATGCACTATAGAGGTATAATAACATTCATAATATTAGAGCTATTTAAATGGGATAACAAATAAAATGCTTATGATGTACCATATAAGAAGCGATCAAGACTCAAATTAGGTAGGAACTCATAGATCAGTATCTTTTCCTTTTCTGATAAGCAGAATCCCAGTAATTTAACCAGGTTTCGATGTTGAAGCTTAGCAACTAAAAGAACTTCATTCTTGAACTCTAAGGTGCCCTGTTCCGAAGATTCTGAGAGTCTCTTCACAGCTATTTCTTTCCCATTTTCGAGCCTTCCCTGATAGAGATACAAGTGAACAACTTCCATTAAGGATTATTTTACAATATACTATCAAATCAACCATTACAACAACTGTTTGCTGAGTGTTCCAAGGCCATTTACAAAACTTTTGGGCTCATTTATCATTGTTGTGAGTTTTTGTATTTAGTGAACTTTCTGTTTTTAGTTCTTTAATGAAACTGTAAATATGCTAACAATTTTGTTCTAAAGTTTGAATTAACAAGTTTGTAGTTGCGTTCACATCTATGTGGCTTTGATCACTGGGACTGATAAGATTTTTACAGTTCATGGTTACCTTATAGACTTCGCCAAATCCACCCATTCCAAGTTTGCTCTCCTTGGAGAAGTTGTCAGTTGCAGTTTTTATTGTGCTGAACTCATATTGTAACGATTCTATGTTCCTAATGTCTTCCATATCATCTGCAAACACAATTATAAAAAAACCGACTTCTGAAGCAGAGCATTACCTGTTAAATACTACTTATAAGGTCCAAAGTATCAGCCTTTAGGAACGGCTGTAGACAACAATAACTAGTAACAACAATAACAGCTACATAGGAAATAAAAATTGGGGAAGATAACCTACAAATTTGAAGTAACAAGTGTATGAGTAAAATTTCTAGATTAAACTAACCTACCAGAACAAAAATAAAGTTTTAATTGACTGAAATGTTACCATAAAATGTTCTAATATTGGATGTTTCCTTAAGCACGTCCTGAAATCTCAGTTTCATATTCCTCCTTCGCAAACAAAACCAAGTAGCAGAAAGAAATAGTATTGCTCCGACTGCAGAGCTTGCTGCTATTCCACCAATATAAAAGGCAACCAATGGCCTCCCTGGAGCCAAAGATTATAACAATGCATAAGATGATTTTAGCATACTAAACTAGTTTATAATCAAATTCAAAATGTTAAGAGTGTATAATAAACCTCTGGATTTATTTTTTACTGAAGGTAGTGAGATTGAGCTTGGGGAAGGTGACGACAGGTAACTCACGTTATAGAATAAACTTGTGTTATACATCAATCGACAACCTGGAAGAAAGATTGCTTGAGCTGATCTATTGAATTGATTTGCAGAGATATTAAGAGCTTGTTTGAGGCAGAAAGCACAGTCAGATCCATCTAGAATACGCGCACACTGTGTAAGACAGTAAAGTCTAGCAGAAGATGATGGAAAGGCTGCTTCTTTCATAGCAATATGTGCAGGAGATGAATCATTAGCAGCATCCTTGATCATGGAATCAAAAGTTTTCGTCAGTACTGCATTAACCTGACTTGGATTCGCAATCTCCACTGATGAGCCCCAAAACAAAGTATGTTTTGTTACATCCTCTAAAGATATGGAACTGTTGCAAAGCCATACAGAGCATTCCATATACCACAAAATAACAGATTCATAAAGAGGACACTTTTCATTTACATACTTAGCTGCAACATCAACGCATTCACTGCAAACTTGCAGGCTCAGGTCCTCCCGGCATTGAAACAGGCCATGAACTTGGTTAGGCGTGTCTCCAACCGTTGAATTATAAAACTTGACGTCTGAGGCTTTCAAGGACAGATCAGACAATAACTTATTGACATTTTCGGAGTATCCTCTATCAACAATTACCTTACCAGAGTCGCCTTTACTGTCACATCTATCAGCTAACAGGGTAACATCAGCAGTGATACTAAAGAAGTGGATGTTCAAAAGGCAGAATATCAAAGGCAAGATTTCCCTAATGAAGCCAGGATGCAGCAGGATATCATTCAGCATCATGGAAAAGCCTTATGCAAAAGCTTAAGAATGCATAAAATTTAGTTTGACACAAGTGATTTTGTAGCCTGAGGAATTACAATATGAAATTGCATTACTCTGACATTTCAGCAACACAGTTAGGAATCAAATATAATAATTTCCTCCCCACTTCCTCGCGATTAGGACGACTAATTTAAAATCAGTTTTTTTACTACTAAAAAAAATTATTTTTACTATGGGTGAACAAAAGTGATCATTGACTCTAAAATTTCTACATGCTTTGACATTTTTATCTTTTATTAAGGATGTCAATGGGGCGGGTAAGACGAATGTTGTTCCTATTCCCACCTCCATCTATATCTCCATCTTTGCGGCGGCTGATTCATAGTCCATTTGAGTTATTAAATATACACGGGGACATGGCTCTAAAGTAATGTTAGGCAAAGTTCAAGTAACCAAAGTGATTATCATGATTATTATACTTTTTTATTTCAAAGAATGGAAGTGATCATGTACCACTAGCAGTTGAACATCATTAGCAATTTTCTAACTGCTCCTTAATACAGTTGTTAGCACAAAAATTGTCATACTTATTACTAGAATGGGAACACAACAAGGTCAACAACAACCAATTGATCAAAATTCTACAATTAGCTAAGTGTAAGACTTTAACTGTGTAAAGCCTTACCTCAAATCAGTCAAGGCTAATAAAGATACAGACATATAGTGTCCAAAGACGTGAATGAACTCATATCATACCCTAAATCAATCATGATATATACTCCACACTTCGTATATAAATCTAAGATGATTGATTGGGAGACTTGAATTCTTCTGAGAAGGTTACACAATATAAACCAACCAACCATAGTAGTATGAAGTACATTTGAACAGAAATTACAACAGAAAATTAAATGTATTACGAGCATTCAAGTTTGTACCAATTCTGGTATGAGCTTCAGAAGAAAAGAGAGCTCACGATCTGAGAATTTTATGGATGACCTTTCTCTTTTTTCTTCCATATCTTTACCGTTAATGAAAGAATTCTCTTCATCAGTCTCCTCAGCAGATGTCTCGCTAAAATCTGATACTGCTTCTTTTATCTCTTGAACATAGTCGACGATCACACCTTCAACACCCATTAGATGCTGCATGTATACCGCCTCTGGCACGTTGCTGATCATGTAAAAACAAAAAATTAATTACAATTAGTATGATTCAGATTACAAATTAACCTATGCAAAATACTGAAAAACATATCAAATTTAGGCTTACTTCAATTGGCCATAAGAAATAAGGGAGAGCTTGGATTCTTTGATCCTAGCAACCATTGCAGGGTGTCTAAAAATCGCCCTTACTTGAGAGACGATCCCTTGTAAGCCAGCTTCAAGACAAAGCTTGATGGCTTCGTCTAGAGAATTCCTTCTAGGATCAGCATATATTTCACATCCTCCATTGGTAAGAAAGAAAACCTGAATCAATCAAACATAATCTCATCAAAAAAAAATATATATAAAACACAGGATTTTTGGAATTTTAGAGAACATAAAGAATAGGAATATAGTGAGATTACAGGGTGATTATCCTGCAGTTTCCTCATCAACAGCACTGCATCAGGTTGAAAGCTCGAAAAAAGTATGGCCCTCCCTTGATCAGCATGATTATCTACGATCTGCAGTATTACAAATTTAACAAATCAGAACAATTAAAACAACAACGAGCCTATGCAAGAAAATAAAACTGAGTTTTATGAATTTTCATCAAATTATGCTTTTAAATACCTTTAAAACTGATTGAAGAATGCGTTTGAGCTCCACTTCATCATAAATTTTGCTATCATCGAGTTTCAACTCAATATTAAAACCCAAAGATTTATCAACATTTTCAAAGGCCTCTTGCAATGTGCATAAAGGAGCGTCATTCTCAACTTTCCACTCGAATATACTCCCATCTTTTGCTTTTCTAAGCATAGGCTTTCCAACCTGAAATAGACAATTTACATGAACAAAATGCTTATGTTTCCAAAACTGCACCTGCTTGATAAAATTATTCGGGTTTTTCAGGGCAAAGAGTGTATACCTTTCCTGGCTCCTTTTGAGGTCCATAACTCAGAAATTCTTCCAAGGTAATATCTGTCACTCTTTTCTCTATAATGACTCCCTAAGGTCATTCGACATCGATTGATAGATCAGCAATCATTAGTTCAAGTGGTTAATTAGATAAAACAACCGGCTGGAAAAATAGAATCGTGGACTAACCTCATCTTGGGTAAGGATATGTATGTCATGGAAAATGACAGGGCAGTCATCTCTGGTGACCTACAAACATAGGTTTTTGGTTTACAGATCCTAATGAGGATCATCTCTGATGCACCCAATACTAATAAGAAAAGAAAGAAATTTGCAAACCACACAGAATGAAACCAAATCAGTACCTTATTTGTAGCTAAAATGACGTTCTAAATTGGAGAATTGAACTAATTTTTACTCAAATATCAAAATGGCTAATCCTAATTCATGAGATGAAGTAACTATCTTAGTAAAATAGTGTTTAATTTTGTGATCAAAGTGCACCATTTACAACAATCTTTACTGTACTTCTTAGTACTGTCGCAATTACAAAATTCTGTAGTCTTTATCCCTAAATGTCTGCTACAAGTTAATAACGAAGGTACAAAGTAGGAAAGAAAGAACAAACAAACAACAACGAAAACGATCTACGTAGTACATTTACGTGGTTCCCTAACAAAACTTTGTATGTCAATGTGTATAGGGGGATATGTTATCTCTGTCACTCTTTTTTGAGAAGTCTAAAAACATAAATCTGCAGCTCGATTTCCTTCCCTATATGCTATATTAGTCTAGGTATGCATTTTTTTTATTGCAAAAGTGCAAATTTGGTCTAACTAGTAAGAAATGTAAATGATTGGATCATTAAAGAAAATGAAAAATCATAAGGCCCATATATGACCCAAGAGAACACTTTTGTACTCTTTAAAAATAAGCCCATACAATAGTCCAGCCCATTATAATATTAAACAGACAGCAAAAAAATAAAAATAAAACCAAGAGACACGTGTAAGATTTTTAATGCATCTGGGCAAACAGCTAGAAATCGCAGCGAACATCCTGTGACTCTTTCCCCAAGTTTTGCCATTCGTCAAATTCACCACTTTCCCGTAATCCCATTTTCCACCCACCCAAACAATAATTAAAATAACATTAATAACATCCATAACACGTAATTATGTCATACATTCCAAATTAATACTCGTATTGACCGGACCCAAGTTGATCCAACCCATACTTACCCAACTTAAACCCGATCCGTTTATCCTAATTTACTGCTCTACTCGTTACATATTATTATTATATTGTTGATGTATCATAAGCAAAGAAAAAACACCAAGAACATGAAATTAATTACAAAAAAAAGTTGAGAAATATAGAAAAAATTACCTGAACATCAAACTCAATGAAGTCGAGATTAAATTGAGCAGCATGATTAAAAGAGAGAATAGAATTCTCCATAAAAGTTTTCATTTTAGGATCTGAAGATTGCAGAATATTCATACCACTTCCTCTATGTCCCATTATCACAAATTTCCCAAATTTATATGGTTTCTTCTTCTTCCCTTCATTTTCTTCTTCCACCAAACATTCTGTATGAACTGCAATAATAAATTATTTATAATTATAAGCATTCATATTTTTATGTGAAAAGAACTTAATTAAAGAATCAATAAAAAAATTAAGAAAAATACCTGAAGGAAAAGAAGTGGGAGAAAAAATGGTGGCATTTTCTGGGATCTTATAATTGGTGTGATCGAAATTTGGTAAGTTAGCGACAATTGCTTTCAGAGCCATTGGAAATGTGAAGATGGAGAAAGATGAAGATTTTGGGAGATTAATATTTCACGACTGTTATATAATTGTATAATGCAGAATAACGATATCTTAGGCTACTTTTTTTTTATATCTAAAGAGGGTTTACAGCTTATATATACTTGTACAAAATTTAATTAACGAATATTCCGTTATTATTCCATTTTAAAAAAAAAATTATCTTTTATCCTGTAATGTATATTGTATTTCTTGTCTAGTTATGACGATAATAACATTAATTGACACATGTGACATATTACTATATTAGTCATACAAAAATCCTCATACTAATACGAATCACAAATTTGGAGAGTGAGGGATAGCTCAAGTGGTTAGAGCTTTCTTTCCGATTCTAGAAGATCCTCTCATCCCTACCCTCGTGACTCTCTAACACAAAAAAAAAAAAACGAATCTCAAAATTTATTTTACGCATTATTCTGTATGTGTAATGCTTGTACTCCATGAAACAAGTTTATAATACGGTCATACATTGTATATGTTGAAACAAAAACAATCCAATATAGAGGAACAACTTTCCCATTAGGCCATTAGTGACACTGTAGGGTGACCCTTGAGACTTTTCGACATAAAGAGGATATTGTTGACCTTCCCTAGCCTAAACCCGCTGAATCCTGCCATCGAACCGCAAAATATTCCATGACAAACGGGATCCACATTTTCCACAACTCTGTCAGCTAATAACTCAAGATAGAATCTCTCTAAATTTTGTAATATCAATTCCTTAATGGTTGTATTAACAAATGGTTAGATCTTAGATAGATCATCGATTCGCTGCACCTTTTTAATTATGTTTGTGTCTACTTACAAGGAACTTTGACTGTAAATACTCTTCAAATTTGTTTCAATATATCATATCATATAACTAATATATAAAGCTAAACTTTTAGTCAGGCGACGAGACAACGACACTTGGCGTTCCAATTTTTCGCCAAGTGTTGTGTCAAGTAGGATAGAGTTATATAGAATTCAATTTGTAGGATAAAAAAGGTAGTTTAGAATTTTATTTTCAATCAAATTTAGATAGAATTTTAAGATAAAATTGTTAATTTAGAGTTTTATTTTTTTATAAAGTACCAATATTTCATATGTACAAATTGAATTATAATTTTATTCAAAAAAAATTAGATTATAACTCTCATAAATTATCATATAAATTTATTTTTTGTATCATAATATATTTTTGAAGCGAAGGAATTGGTTCAAAATGTACCACATCCATGGTTTATAATATATTCTAATCAATTAGAATAATATACTTCACAATCTAATATAATTTTAATACTGTGTGTAGACCTGTCAATCAGGTCGGGTCACGAGTCATTTCAGATAGGGTCAAAAATATTTTTCACCAATATTATTATTATTTGTCATTATGTCTACAAGTTTAAATCGCCACAAAAACACGCCAATTCCTAACTAATTTTGTATCAATGATATGTTTTAAAATTTGACATATAAATTGAAATATATCTTTAAATTTAATAAACAACCCGGACATCGCACGGGCACAAAACTAGTATTCTATTAACCTGATTTAACTTATTTGAACTTACTAAAATTGGTATAAGTGAGGGATAACTCAAGTGATAGGAGCTTCCCTCTCGGTTCCAGAAGATCTTGGGATCGATTTTCACCCCGTCCTTATAACTGTCTAAAAAAAAACCTTAGTAAAATTGATTCAAAATTTATTTTAGTTGTTATTTAAACTTGAATAATCCTTATTGTTGTCATTACATTTTGGTCCTAATGTGGCATTGTTAGTCATTAGTTTGTTACGCTTATCACAAACTCTCTCCTGGAAAGTTTCTTGATTTATTACATTAATTGTAAATACCTGTTCATGTAAATAAGGTTTCATAATGAAAATAAATGATTTCTTAATTTCTCCCAAAAAATTTCTCTTGTTCTTCACAATTTGTTCACTTAAACTCCACATTTTCACAATTTCAGGAAGTGAACTTAAACTTCATGATGTACTCGTAATTTTTGTCAATGATCCAAACAATAAAAGAGCAACAATTGAAACTGGTGACCCAAGTTTACCCTAAGGTGACATATATTTTTTTTTTTGACGGAGAGGTGACATATACTTGAACATTAACGTGTCGCCCTATTCTAGATTATTTTGGAACATGGTTTAGAACCATCCAAAATTCAGAAAAACCAACACGTAAATTCTAGAAAATTGCCATGTATAATATACTAGTACATGATTGTTTCTCCATAACAAGTGGTGCCTATATATGTTGTCCAATATAATTTAATGATATTTCTAGAGTCTAACTGATTGTGGTCAGGTACAAACTCCAAGCTCATGAAACATACCTCACTTTTGTAATTTAATATTGGATTTTTTAAAAACACCTCTCTTTAGATTCGGTACCAATTTTTTTAAAAATTTTTCTTTGCTACCAGCCAAAACAAAGTTTGTTAAAAATCACTACCACTTGTCTTCAACCGTTAGTATTTCCGTTACCACCACCCAACCACCGTCCAACCACCACTCCTTCCCACCCACTGCCTAATTCACCGCCACTATTCAACATCAAACCCACCGCAACCACCACCCAACCACCAGCTCTTCCTCACCCACGGACCCACCAGCTACCCAATCCCCTGCTCGCGAATCCGGCCACCTAGCCCCCGTGTCAGCGCCGGCGTCGCGACCCTCCTCTGAAAACGCCTTTCCAGCCCCGATCCCAACCTCGTTCCCAGCCCCCCCTTCCCTTGAAAACCCGATCCAAGCCCCTTCCGCTCGATACCCGATCCCACGGTCTGGGTTTAGTGGTTTCGGTGGGTAGTCGTGGTCTGGTCTGGGTTCATGGGTATAGGGTTCGCGTGGGTATAGGGTTGTCGGTGGTGGTGGTCTGGGTTCGTGGGTATAGGGTTGTCGGTGGTGGTGGTCTGGGTTTGGGGTTAGGGTGGTGTCGTGGTGGGTCGTGGGTGAGATCGCCGGCGCCGACCGACTCTTTTGGCGCCGGCCGCCGGCAGGTAGGAGGGGGAGGGGTGGGTGGCAGTTTAGGGGAGGGGGTGGCAATGGGGTGGCTGGGTTTTTTTTTTTTTTTTTTTTTTTAATTTTTCTTTCTTTTTTTTTAATAAACTTAACGGAAATCCTAACGGATTCCGATAAGTGGTAGTGATTTTTAACAAACTTTGTTTTGGCTGGTAGCAAAGAAAAAAAATTTAAAAATTTGGTACCGAATCTGAAGAGAGGTGTTTTTAATGGTAGCAAATGTCAAAAAATCCTTTAATATTTGTAATTTTGCCATTTTGCGCAAATATTGTTCATCAATTACATCATAGTATGACACCATTAGTTACAAAAATGGGCACTAAATTCATATTTTATACCTTTGAAAAGCAATTTCTGCTAGACTATCAACATTCAACAATAGGTTTGAACTTTGAACAAATTGTAACACAATTACATCTTGCTACAAGTAAAAACCAATTATCAGAAATTGTTAGCTAATTTCATCAGTAAGTTTTCTAAGCATAACTTGAAGTTTAAGTGCCAATGCCTATTTTCATTCACCATGAACGCCTCAATCTATAATTCTATACCCTTCAAACTGATTTCTGAAGCGGAGCACTCCAATTTTTTTCCATCTAGGACACGGAAACAAACATTAAGGTTTTCTGATTTTGAAATCAGTTCTCCGAAAAATGTTTCTGACCTAATGGTTTTTTCCCTGTTAAAACTAAAGCAAGCAAGCAACCAATATAGACAAGTGAAAACTACCTTTCAAAACGCAAGCAGCAGCATGCTATAGCCAATACATACCTGCTTCCACATAAGTTCCAACACATAATATTCTTTTTGTCTTGCCAAATCTCCTACTTAGGTGGCTTTTACTTTAGATGACTCATTTAGTGTTAAACATAATGCATGTAACAACAAAATTAAATTTCATTTTCAATGGTGACACGAAATCCTGAAATTTCAAGCCTGATGTGGCCACCAAAAAAACGGGTAATGAACCAAGCACTTGAAGCAAAAGATGAAGAAAATATTAAGCTCATACAAAAGTACACCTAAAAAAAAAAAAAAATCACAACTCGCTTTCAGAGATGACATCAAACAACAGACTTTTACAATAGGAATGAAGTGGCTACCACTAGCTATGAAAAGGATCAAAAGAAATAGTTCAAAGCAACAAATGCAAATAAAGAAGAGATTCCAATTGCACGTGAAATCAATGAACAGGTAAAGAAAATAGCAACACAGTTAGAAAGGAAAAGGAAAAGAACACGAGCACTTCCTCCAATTTTTACTTGTTGATGTTAATGTGGTGGGTCTCTCTGGTCTTGTGCCAATGAATAAAACCTCAGCAATGGTACAAATCGCACTCATTGTGAAGTAATCGTAGGAACAAATCAAATTCAGACAGCATTTTCTGCAAAATGAGCCTTCATTGTTGATGACCTTCAAATATTGGAATATCAATTTAGAAGGGTGTTCATCATAGTACAGGAATGGGTAATTTAGCATTGGACAAACAGGCTAACTTGAAATCAGAACAAAATTCCTAGAATGCTTCAGACATCACAAAAACAGTGAAGCCAAACTACTGTCTAAACTCGAACCAAAGTACCGGTAATGTTTCACGGTTTTACCTCTTGCTCAATATGGAACTCCACCACAGTTAAATACAAGTAATGTAATTTATTCCACATATGAGTATATGACTGACATGTCCACAGATGGCATAAGAAAAATATAATTTTCAATTTCTACTTGAGAAGGTATTCTCATTCAGACCATGAATCATGCAACTGAATTTTGATTAATGAACACGTTATCAAGTAATGACCAAAAAAAAAATTGACACACACCCCAATCAAGTACAGTCAATGCTGGAACCATAGGAATACCAGTATTAGTTATCTATACAGCCAGATCTAGTCTGCTTCAGGAGTCCTCAAGAATAAAATAAAACCTATTTTTCAGAAGCAGATGCAAGAGCAAAGCAAAGAGAAGGAAAACAATAGATAGGATTATGGATCTCTAAACAGTAAACAGACATTCATGGTAGTGCTTACTGAAAAACCTTTGTGATCATCAGAACTTGGAACCGTGATGCATCAGGCAAGTTCAAATTTGACAGAACTCTTTCAAATTCATTGCAGCGGGTGCTGGACAATAACAACTCCTCGGCTTTCCAACCAGGCTTCATTTCAGACATCAATACGAATACACAATTACTCACCTCTCACCAAAAAAGAAACAAAATATAAAAAATTCACCGAAGGAGAAGAAAAATAATATAACTGACAACAAGTTGCTAAAGGTTATTTGAAGTCTTTTCTTGCTTTCGATGATTCCAGCATCCACTATAAGTTATTTCTTATTAAAAATAATGATTAAATTAATTTAGAAGAAAATGCAGTAGCATGCCATGAATCTCACAGCAATCACCTTCTATTCCTGATTGTATACTTCTCGTGAAAGCAGGACACAGGCAATGCATGTTATATAAAGGAAAAAAATCAAAAGAGATTTCTGTAATAAAAGCCTTATAGAGGTAAGGTTCTTATATGGTAAACTCCTACTCATGTCATGCAGGTAGTATTGTTGTTATAAATCTTTGACTCACACATCCTCCCTTTCTTAAGCTCTCATTATCTTTAGGAAACCATTCAGTTTGCTGAGCAGCACCAAAGAGTTAAAGACCAATCTACCTTTGAAAAGAAGGGGCAGCGTGGGGATAAAAGAAAAAAAAAAAGGAAGATAACCTAAGACTGATTTCATGTGGCCCTGGATCATGGCCCATAAATACTTGGGCCACTCTTTGCTAAATGCGTAGCAATTCCTAGAACTAAGCAGGTTATGTTTAATCAATGCGTTCTGAATCCCTATGGACCAACAACTTACCAAGTACAGGGAAGGTCCAAAGATATTCACCCATATCATATATTCTTTTTGAAGAACACCCATATCATATATTCTATATCAATGTTTAAGCTGATTAAGAAAAAGGACTCATCATACGCAGCCTACAAGTCTAATAACAATTAACTATGAAACCTGCATATAAGAATATACATAGGAAAAACCCAAAATAACATAAATTCTGCAAGGATTTTATTTTAGAATGCGTCTCACAAACAATAAGGAGATTGTTACAACAAATGAGATGTAAAAGATCTATACAAGGGACCAGAAAGACAATTTGGTACAACTCGTACAAGTACAAGGCTGTACAACCATAAGACTCATTATAGACCAAGTAGGTAAGGTTAAAACCTCCAAGCTGGTGATAAAAGTACAGTATACCTGACTGCTAGAGCTTAAATAGCTTATTCAACTTTGAGTCTAATACCAAGAAGAACAACATGACCTGAATCCCTGAGCTGATCAAAGCTTTGAGAAAACTGGCTTTCTTTTCTGGAAAAAGGCAGAGGTTGCCTCTTTTAGGTCATCAGATAGAAGCATTGCAGCATTCCACGTAGCTACATAGTCCAACCCTTGGTCTAAACTGAAGTCCTTACTTATTAGTAACACTGCCTTAGTACCAGTGATAGCTAGAGGAGATCTTGCTGCAATTTCTGCAAAACATAGAATATGATATTAGAACTGCACACGAAGCATTTTATTGGAAACAAGTCCTTTGGCAACTAGATGACTAGAGTGCATTTAATTGAACTATATCAACCGACCTTGCTACTTCCTAGTTTCTACCACGACAACAAAATTCATAGTCCGTATACAAGATCACTAACATTTCCTTGATTCTCTTACTAAAAGCCTTTTACCATTCAACAAGCCTAGTAATAACATACGACTACTGAAAATCAGCCGTGAACAAGAACGGTTACACGAAAACAAGAATACCTATACTCTCAACTCTCAAAACAATATCTGAAAGCACAACAAGCCATTCAAACACCTTTCCAAATTGATTTCCCGAGCAATTAGAGAATTAAAAGGGAATAACACATAATAAGCATCAAAACCCACAAAAAGTGGACTAATGAGTGCCCTGTAGTGCAGTGCTTAAACCAGTAATCCTGCATTGCTTAGTGCCTTAGTCCCATGAAGTGATTGTTAATTTGGTACAGGCTTATTACTCAAGAATGGACCTTTATTCTAAACATCACAAGATTCTTGCTAAACATAACCTTAATAATAAAAATCAAAAGCAATGTTCACATAACCTTACATTAAAGTCAATCATTCAAACAATTCATCCCAATATATAGCTATACAATACTGAGTAAATATGCCACCTTTCTCTATCGTTGCACATAACCTGGTAGTACCTAAAGCAAGAACTAAAAAAACCAAGACAAAAATCAACATACCCTCAGCAATGCGCGCCACAAAACCATCCAAATCATTTTTAGAATCGAAAACCCGAGTAACCAGACCCATTTCTTTAGCCTCAGAACCCGAAAATCGCCTCGCTGTCAAAGCCAATTCCATTGCATTTCCAAATCCAACAATCACAGGTAATCTCTGAAGAGTCCCTAAATCAGCAGTAATTGCCAAATCAACCTCCTTAACAGAGAAGAAAGCATCCTCAGTACAATACCTAATATCACAGGCTGTAATAATATCAATTCCACCTCCAATACAAGCTCCATGAATACCGGCAATCACCGGTTTCCGGCATTCTTCCAAAGCGGTAACCGCCGCTTGCAGGTACTTAATCTCTCTCCTAAAGCGCTCGTTGGTGCGGGCGCGATCAGCCGATTGGGTGATGGAGGTGAGGGTTTTGATGTCGATGCCGGAGCAGAAGTGATCTCCGGCGCCGGCGAGGATGATTGCGCTGACGTTAGGGTTTTGATCGAGGGATTTTAGGGCTTTTGGGAATTCGTCGAAGAAGTCTCTTGATAGGGCGTTTCGATGGGATGGACGATTGAGGTAAAGGTAGAAGACGGAGGAATTTGGTTTGATTGGGTTGACTTTTAGGGTTTTGTATTCCGCCATTGTTGATGATACAAGCGAACACGAAGCTCGGAGTGAGAAAAGGGGAGTACAAGGTTAGGCAAACATTGGTCAGTAGGAAAGCCCCACCTTGATAAACGTGGTAATAGTGTACGGAATATAATACAAAAATGACTGGTTAGTCCTATCAAATTTCAAATCGAAACCGTTTAATTGCTCAAAAGAAACCGATCCAAATGAGAACCGAATTGATTAAAAACATTTTTTTTTGAAATGAAAACCGACTCGAACCGTATGTTAATGAACCCGAAACCGAACCGATCCGAGTAACGTTACACCGTATAAAAACCAATCCCGTTTATGAGTCGAACTAGTTCTAAATCGAATTGAAATCAAATTGAACCGAAAATGAACCGAATTGTTTCTAACCCGAAACCGCTTGCAACCTGAAATCGTTTGAACCGGGATAAAAACCGTTTACACCGAACCGTTAACAACCCGCGACCCGTTTGCACCGAACTGTATATAAACCGAGCTGTTTATAAACTGAACCGCTTGCCAACCGAATCGTTTATGAACCGGACCTCTTATAAACGAATCGGCTACGAACTGCTTACTATAAAGAGATTATTAAAATCAAGTTAAAAGGTGTTTTAAATGAAATTTAATTATCATAGTACAAAAATCTTCTTGCCAAATTAATATTTATTGAAAATTTATTATCATAGTATAAAATATCTTCCTGCCAAATTATTATCATAGTATAAAATATCTTCCTTCCACTAAAAATCCTCCTGCCATAAACTGAACCGAAAAAGAACTGAACCAGCTATAAACTGTACCGAAAAAAAACCAAACTAGTTATAAACTGAATCGAAAAAGAACCGAACTAGTTATAAACTAAACCTAAAAAAGAACCAAACAGTTTCTAACCAAAAACCGTTTCCAAACTGAAACTATTTGAACCGGGATAAAAATCGTTTACACCAAACCGTTAATAAACTGCAACCCGTCTGCACCGAGCCGTTTACTACCCGGACTGTTTACAACCCGAACCGAATTAAAACCGCTCACGAATAAACCGAAACCGAATCGAACCGATAACTATTTAAACCGAACTGGAACTAACCCGCGAGATACTTAAACTGATTTTAAACGACCCGATTTAATACCGAACCGAACCCGAACTATCAAACCGTTTTGACAGTGCTAACTATAGTATAAACTTCCTCGGTTTTCTGTTAAATGTAACACATCTTTTTGACACGTTTTTGTAGGAATTGATTAGAGTAGGTAGACGAACGAATTTAACAAAATAATTTGAACACTATGATTTAGAGATAGGTTAGGTACTAAGTGTCTTATTTAATTTGATTAGTTTGTCCGTTTACATTGCTTAATCTCTCCTCAAATTACATGCCGAGAAGATGTATTGCATTTAAAAGAAAAAGGAGGAAGTATTACGGAGCATTATGACATTTTTGTATTACTCGGACATTCGTTTCATATTAGTTGTAATTTTGAAATATTAAATGTTTTTTTTTTCTTAGTAATTTAAATTTTTAGAAAATCTAATTTCAGTTGGAATGTAAATTAGGGCATGTTCTCATTTACTGAGCAGAGCAAAGCTGAACTTATTGGAGCTTAATTAAACTGAACTGATAATTTTATGGGAGAAGAAAATTAAGAATTGAATTGAATTGAACTGAAAATAATTAAGCTGAAGCGAATAGACCCTTAAATGACAAAATTAGTGAATAAAACAATATTCTCATGTAAAATTGCTAGTGGTGGTACCTGGTGAGGAAAGAATTACGGAATACGATTTTATGACTTATGAGATTTGATTTTTTTTTTTTGGGTGGGGGGGGGGGGGGGAAATTCCCCAACATAGGTAAGATTTGATCTCTAGCCTCATCGGTAGTATGGACTACGGAGTAGAGGTGATTATAAATTTGGACCGAGCCTTAATATCAAATGTCATACCCAAGCCATGTCCTAAAGTGGCAGGTTAAAACAGCCTTTTCGAGCCGGATTTGGGCTTTAAACTAAAGAATAGTTTTTAGCTTGCCCAAACCCGCTTTATTTCAGGTCGGATCAGATTGGGCTAACGGGCCGGGCCATTGTTGATCATCTCTACTATGAAGTACATACTAAAGAGTCGAAAATCTAGCTAATTGCTTAAACAACATGTCTCATGGTTGTACTTTATAGATGACGTAAACTTTTAACTTCACAACTTAAAGGTCATAAGATTAAAATTTCTATAGATCAAGGCTCTTTGTATTTGGAGTTTTTCCTATCATATCCTCTTATCTGCATATAAGCTAAGGGCCTGCTCTCATACGTTTATTTTCAGTTCAGCTCAGTTCAGTTCATTCAGTTCCTAATTTCCTTCTCTTATAAAATATTCATTTCATTTTAGTTCAGTTCAGCTGAGTTCAGTTTATGAGAACAGGCCCTAAGTTTAGCACTCTAGCCACAAAGCTGGACTTTACTTGATCAGCAAGAGGTGATGGTTGTAAGGTCCTTCTCCTTACTTTTAATAAACACTATATGATAGATAAACAAATAGAATAAGTTTTAAATTATGTTGGCAGTACAATTTAGGATGTTGTGAATTGTGATTAATTCTACAATTAAGTTTTATGTGCACACAAAACATGTTTTATATATTTATTTATTTATTTTTTTGACAAGAAGAAAAAGGGATTTCATTAATAAATATATAGTCAAACGGGACTTACATATAAATCCTAAAAAACTAAAAATTCCAACACAAATATACACCTTTAAACTAAATACATTGTAGATTTGATTGACAATTTATGAATTCGCACTAATACGCACTGAAATCCACTGATGTGTAGCCGTTTAAGTGAAAATACTCATGTGGTCCTCCCGACTTTTATAGAGATTATAAAACCCTGGATCTTCAACTCTCACCATAGAAACATAACACAAAACATGTGTTATTTGCTCATAGATATAGCAAACTAGCTCATCATAAATACAATTATAAGAAGGATATATATGTAAACGCAAACTATCTTTGGATTTTTTCAAGTCGATTAATGCGTTGGTAGGAGTTAAGGAATAAGGAGGGAATATTATTTTGAAATGATTTTTGTCAGAAAATACCTAATAAAATTCAGAATTCGTGAGAGACTACCTAATAAAAAAAAGTGTTGTAAGAAATTATCTAATAAAAGTAAAATGTTGTAAATATTACTGTTGGCCGGATTTCATTCGTTGATCTAATTTTCCAGCATTGACCTACCCATGTGTCGGTCACATGACGTTTGATGAAGTTTTTTTATTAAAGTTGAACTTTTGGGTATTTGTTGAGTAAGCACCTAAGCGGGGTTGATTTTCAAGGTGGTGAGACTATTTTCGGGGATTTTTCGAGTTGGTGGATGTAGTTTTGGGCTACGAAATGGTGGAATATGGGGTAAGATAGGGTGGTTTTGAGTTGAAGGGTAGTTTTGGTGTGGTGGAAGTGATTTCAAGCACGTTGCGTTGATTTTTGGGATAAAAAGTTCAATTGAGTACAATCTAATGGTCAATTTAAAAAAAATAATTCAAATGGCATAATTGAACAAGATTTGAGAGGGTGTAACAAATTACAATTCATCGAATCAATATCTATTACTCCACTATGAAAATCAACTTAGGGCATGTTCACATTTACTTAATTTTAGTTCAGTTCAGTTCAGCTCTAATCAGTTCAGTTCAGCTCTTAATTTTCCTCTCTCATAAAATATTCATTTTAGCTCAATTCAGTTCAGTTCAGTTCAGCTCCAATCAGTTCAGTTCAGCTCAGCTCATTTCAGTAAATGTAAACAGGCCCTAAGGGCCTGTTCTCATTGAGTGAGCTCAGTTGAACTGAACTGAACTGAATTGAGCTGAACTGAACTGAACTGAACTGAGCTAAACTAAACTAAACTGAACTGAACTGAACTAAAATGAATATTTTATAAGAGAAGGAAATTAGGAGCTGAGCTGAGATGAACTGAACTGAACTGAACTAAGCTGAACTAAACTGAACTGAACTAAAGTGAACTGAATTTTAACGTAAGAGAACATACCCTTAATCAATAAAAGTATTTATCAATAGCGGAAATTGAGGTGAAGAAAACACGGATTACTCTTCAAAATCTGATGCATCATGCATAGATAATGTATCTTTATTTCTCTTTATTTTTGTTTTGGCCTTATCTCAATTTTAATACAAAAGGTGTGGGCCATTTTGGGTTGTTATTATGTTTGTTATCAGTCATTGATAAAATTTATGGAGTAGTCATTTAGAATTTTTCTATATTTGAAGAAATAAATGGAATTTGATTACCCCGCAACTCTTTCTTAATTAGGATCATAAATTTATATAGGAAGAAAATGGAATTTGATAATCCCACAACTCTTTCTTACGATCATTTGAGAAAGATAATATGATTGATATCAATGAAGTGCCGAGGACTATTTCACAATTAATGTGATGATATGGTAGTTATATAACAACGTAACCTCAATAATTATGTGAGAAATGTTTTACATTTTTTTTTGGTTGGCGATTAAGGAGAAAGACTTTATTAGGCCGGAACCTCTCACATGTCCTCCTAACTCAATTTAACGGGTTAGACACTTTGAGAATGGGGGGAAGGGTAAGAAAATCCCCAACCCAAAGTGTCACTATTGGAGTTTGATCTCACATTGCATGCAAACTTTGCAGCTAGATCGATCAAGCTTAGCTTGGTAAGAAATGTTTTACATTTAGTAAAGGACAAACTTTTAAATAAATCGGATGTACAATAAATATTGAACCCGTTATAAACTTACCCCTATAATGAGTAAAAGTTACCCTAAAATAAATAAAAGTTACCCTGACATAAATAAAAGTTACGAAATATTTATACTTTATTGATAAAAGTTACTTAAAAAATTGTAAAAGAAACCTTCAATTTGATAAAAAATGACCCTTGATGTAAAGTAAATTACTTTACAACGGATATATACAAAAGTTATTCATAGTAAAGTCTTTAATCATGTATCATATAACTATAATTCATATGCAAATAATTACCAAAAATAACATGAGAATTGAAGTAATTATTTAGACAAGAAATCTAAGAATCGGCTCTTAATTCGCAAAAGAAAAGTTTGAAAATAGATGATGATGACAACTTGAAGGCGACTTAGAAGAATTTTAGGTTGTGCTCAAAAAGAATGTTGAGACTATAAAGAGATCATGTAAAAAAAGTATACCTCACTCAAATGAAAATTTTGCAGTTTACCAAAAACAAACCTTCTCAAAAAACTTCTTTAACATTTACTCTGTATGATCTTAGTCATAAGCACAGCTAGATATGTATATGTGCATAAACGGAAGAAGTGGAGACTAGATCATGTATATGGTAGTTTTGTGGACTTTAGGGCTTAGAAGTATTTTTAGAAGATAATCACGGTATTGTACCCTCTTTATTCCACTTCATTTCCAAATTAATTTCAACACGATAGTAAATACAAACTTAAAATGTAATAAGAATTAATAGTGTATGATATATGTGACAAGTCAGTCAAATGAGCTAAAAATTTAAAATGCATTCCAATTTTTACAAGGTGACCTCATATCGTCTCTAACACCTCCTTAAATTTCGAATATACTTAATTTGATATTGTACGTAGTAGTTTTTTTTAAAAGCATGCATACGTTCGATGTATGTGTATGAACATATCAATGTTAATGTAAGTATACGTAGTATTACACACACAAGTACGTATGTGAATGATATTAGTCCACATTTATTACCTACCTAGTCTGTACCTGTCATGCAACTAAGATTAATTTAAATTGCAATTAACTTAAACACACACATAACACACTTCTCTTACCTCATCTCCTTTTCTATTTAGCAATTTAATAATCTTGAGCTCTCATTTTTCATAAACCATAGTTGTTTATCTATGAAAACTATAAAGAGTTTTCCCCTTGAGAAGCCATAATTACAGCTTTTAAAGCATCATTTTCTTAATTAATTACACAAATAATTAAGGTGATCATCAACTTACTATGGCGTTGCACACCAGTACTTTATCACTCACAATCGTCGGCATTCTAGGTGATTATAAATGCAATCAAGTTTTCTTCATCTTATCGATTTATTATTATTTTCGCATTTTTTTTAATTTCATATATATATGTCAAAATACTATCTCATGATGATCTAATGTTCGATCTCCAAATATGTATCTATAACACTTCTTACTATCAAGGTTTTTTCTGTAACTATTAAAGTATCACGAGTACGTTAACAAAATGATTTACTTTCAAAAATATCTCTATTTGCGTACCAAAGTTTTTATTATAAAAATAAAAACTCATGATATACTTTTCCATAAGTTAATTCATCATTCCATGTGTTTCAATAGTTTAGAGATGACTTAGCTTGAAAAGATATACTCTTATATATGCTCAAAATAATTTTTATGACTTGCCAAATAAATTATTTTTGGTCCCTTCATCTCTAGAATCTTCAAGCTCGTTGTTTAATTTATGGAGTATTTCACCTTTTTATTGGCTTTACTACACACTTTTAAAATCTAAAAGTTGAAATAATAGATGTCAAAAGTACGTAGCATATGATAGTGAAACTCACCGATATATATATTTATAACCATGCAAATTAATTAAGATAATGCTATACGTAGCAAGCCACTTTTAGCTATATCTCAATTTTCCCTAAAAAAATTAATCCTTAACAAATTTATTAAAAACACTTCTATTCTATCTCTATTGTAACTTTGTAAGTCATGATACAGAGTAATTTTTAATAATTCATTGTATTTCTTAATTAATTTATATTGCTTAATTTTCCCCTCGTATTATTAATTATGATTATTATGTATATTGATATATTAATAATCAACTAACAATATTCTTCTACTCTTCTGATCATTTTTTCCTCATTCATCCTCAAGGTGGTTACTACATAGGTTGTACATGATTGATGCATGTTTAGGTTTAAAACAAATAAATTCCTTGTATATTTTTATTCTTAGTTTCTTTCTTGTATTTTTTATATGAAAATAACTTTTCATTTTTTTTTTTTTATATACCTAGCAAGTTGCTAGCTATTAAATAAACGTTATCTAAAGTTAGTTTCTTGTGAATATTACCATAATAATCTGCCTTCTTAACAAACAAATTATCTTATATACAAGCATAATATAGTTTAGGTCCTTAAATTCCACATCGTACATGAAATTTAAAACAGTGTTAATCAAATTAAACATCCTTTAAAGTCCCCCTTAATTCTATGTTTCAGGCAACATGATTTCAGGATTAGTATACCTAGCTCCATTGTAAGTTCTCTAACATATATATACTTCATGTCATTGTTACTGTTAAGTTATTAGTCGCGGTATAAAACTTATGTTATGGTAATTAACTTATGTTGCAGGCCTACATATTACAAAATATATAAGAAAAAATCAACTGAGGGGTTCCAATCTGTGCCTTATGTAGCAGCACTTTTTAGTGCTATGCTTTGGTTATACTATGCCCTGCTCAAGAAGAAGGAATATTTCCTAATTAGCATAAATTCTGTTGGATGCATAATTGAGACACTGTACATCGCCTTTTACTATGCTTATGCTTCTAGAAGAGCCAGGGTACGTGTCAAACTTATCCCTCTGCCTGATTTTACTTCTTGTCACATTACTAGTTTAAATCACGCTATCAACTTAACAATTAGTTATAGATGGAGGGATTGTTAATTTTGAATGTCGGATTGATTCAATTTAATCTTCATACCCTGTTGCAGATTTTTACAGGCACACTAGTTCTTTCACTCAATTTGGTGATTTTTTCTATGATAGTTCTCATCATTCAACTGAAACTGGGAGAAGGTACAGACCGCGTAAAAGTGCTAGGTATCATTTGTGCTATTGTCTCCATTGGTGTTTTTGCAGCACCCTTGACAATCATGGTAAGAAATCCTCATAATATTCATCATTTTATACCAAAACGCGTATTCTTTTAACCCCTGTACTGTCATACATCTGTGTCTTTCAGGTGAAAGTAATTCGAACAAAGAGTGTTGAGTACATGCCATTCTTCTTATCCTTCTGCCTCACGCTGTGTGCGATCATATGGTTTGCATATGGCTTATTACGACAAGATTTATACGTATCTGTAAGTCATTTATAAACACCATGTTTCGAATAACCCCTTTCAACACTACTCAGCACACTCATATTGTTCTTATCATCAAAATCAGATTCCAAATATTTTTGGATTCGCCTTGGGGGTACTCCAGATGGTATTATATGCAATCTGCAAAAACTGTTGCATCCCCCGGGAATCAGTAGATCAGAGGATTTCAAGTAATCGGACAAACTTGGTTAATGGAAACGTGACAACTACTGATCAGCAAGACAGAAGCAATGAACCCCAAACTGAACTATCAACTGCTGATCCTGCAGTCTGATATCTGAAGGTTCAAACTCATAGTATATACCGCGTTAAAGTAATATGCCCGAGAGTTTTGGCCATGTATTTATTAGGATAATTAGGATCATATGGAGTAAGATCATATGTATCCTACATTTAGTTGCTTCTTTTCCCAACCTTTTTTTGTTATTGAATGCAACTACCTAATTAACTCACATTATTCTTCTGTTTAGAGCCATTTACTTAAATGAATTATGTGAGAAGTTATTACTACACCAGAACGGTAGTATGAGAAAAATAAATACTTCTGAAAAAAGTAAGATAGTTGGGAAACAGGTAGAGATCATAAGATTTGCTTGATTTAGTAAAAACAGGAACAATACCGTAAAATTTTGGTCAAGGTTGAAGAAGTATGTCTCTGCAAGGTAACAGTTGAATCGTGATAGTATGAAACACTAATTGTATTAAGGTGCTTATTTTTCTTAAGTTTCCCTCGGTATCTAAAAGGTCAATAAGAAACAACCTCCTAAAGTTGCATACATCTCTTAACCCCAATGAAGAAAAAAACCCTTCCTTTTTGCACAGTACTGTTGATTCTTTTCTAACTGGCATGTTAGGTTTATATGAAAAATAAGCAAACTTAAGCATCAGAAACAAGGGGATGAGAAGCTCATATATAAGACATAAGAAACATGGATGAATATGATATAGAGTGCTTCAAGCTGCTGTATTATAAGTTTATAACACTCAACAATGGTATAAGTACCAAATCCATTGAGTATTTCCTAAAAATGCAGAACCAAGAAAGAACCTGCCATCCGCAATTGCGGAAAAGAAACAAGCTCAGCAAAATGACTGCATACAGAAATGTTTTTAAAGGAGCCAAAGGTGCCTTTTTTTTTCTTTCTTACCGAAGATATACACTCTGATTCTTTGCAATATACCCCCCGTCGTCATCTGATTTCTCCTCATATCTGCCAATCTTGTCATGTAAAAGGAAAAAAGAAAAGAAAAAAAAAAAGGGGAAAGAAACTAACATCAACCATACATGGTGGGCATTTCTGATCCTCCATACAAAGCCTCAACACATTTTGTAAGTTGGTAAGGCAAAAAAAAGATGAAAACACGAGGGCATAAACCGGTATCTAGTTATCCTGCCTGAAGCATCTCTGCTTTTCTGACACTGTACAAGCTGAAGGGCGAATCACCCTTCCATGTTGTCATTTGTGCCTTGAGCACTTTGCCTTCTTTTCTCCCGCCAATTCTCTCCCCACATCTTGGCCTCCGCTACAGCTCTCTCTCTGTCTGAATCCCGATTCAACATCCTAGCGGTCTCTTTTGGGGAGTCGTCCTTTTCAGACCCACCTTCCAAATCCAAAGTTTGTCGTCTCTTTTCCCTCCAATTTTCACCCCACATTTTGGCCTCAGCAACAGCACGTTCTCTATCTGAATCCTTATTCAACATTCTGACTGTTTCTCTTGGGGAGTCATCTTTCTCTGAGCCTTCTAAGTCCCACTTTCTCCCTGAACCAGCACCATCTTCACTCCTTGCAATTCTTCCACCATTCTCATCTCTGCTCCTATCTTTCATAGTTGGATCATATGCTTGGTTAGCCAGATAAGAGAGTGCCGTCACAACATCTCCAATAAGGGGTCGAGCAGCTGCATTTTCTTGTATGCACATGGATGCAACAGCCAGAGCTTGGTAAAGTCCTCTTGTTGGAAATCTACTTTGTAACTGAGGGTCTGCCAATTTCAAGAACTTTCTGCGGTCATTGAACAAAGGGCGTGCCTGCACAAATAAACAATGCTCAATTGCTTGTCGACAATAAAAGAGCTAAAAATCTAAAATGATAAACTACAAAAGGGAAGAATTCGCCACAAACCACCTCTAATTTTTCGACTTTTCATTAAACTACTAATGTTGTTTAAGAGCAAAGCACCTAGCAGCCAATATCCCAAAAATAAAAATAAAAAAATGGCTGGTTATTTGCAACAGGTGAAGCATATCACTGTTGTATAAACATTGGTGTAACTGAGAGGTGGTTTAAGACAAATTACTCCTACAACCAAAAATCAACTAATAAGAGCTAAATAGCAACTTCAGTGGGAACTTCACAGGACCATCATCTTACCCATGCTACAAGGTTCTGCTCCCCATGAGGACGATCACTATCAATGGCTCGGCGACCAGTTATCAGTTCTAAGAAGACTACTCCAAAACTGTAAACATCTGACTTCACAGTCAGTTGTCCTGTCATAGCATATTCAGGGGCACAATAACCATAAGTGCCCATCACCCTAGTAGAAACATGTGACTTGTCACCAGTAGGTCCTAGTTTAGCCAGCCCAAAATCAGAGAGCTTTGGATGGAATCCATCATCTAACAATATGTTAGATGACTTGAAATCTCTGTAAATAACAGGAGGGTTTGCTTTATCATGGAGGTACTCCAAACCTTTTGCTGCTCCAGCAGCGATTTTCATCCTGGTATTCCAGTCAAGCGGTTCTTTATCAGGTGGAAGATCTACAAGGACAAGGTTAAACTGTCGATCAAAATTCTAAAAAATTTCTTCCAGTAATATCAGATGGAAAAAAGTGGAGTTTTTCATGGCGATGTGCACACAGCTCATAGGTTCTACAGACATAACCTTAAATATAGTTGAGATAACTTTGCATATCACCACTGATTCAGCATTATCATAAAATTTTGAATATAGTTAAAATACAGTAAAGCAATAAACTGCCTTGCATTGTAGAAGAGCTCCTCAGCGATATTGACACATAATTACTGAATCTATGACACGTTACATATTCTTGCGTGAACAATATCTGGAAACCTACTCCACTGATAATAGTTTGCATATATAAAGTAGCAACAAAGAACTGAAACACGACATATACTTTATGCACTGCAAGAGGTTCAAAATCATCAGGTATTGCAATCTGGCTACAGGTATTGTCTACCTTGGCACATCAACATAACGAGTTTGTTCACTAGTAAGCATAAGACCTTGGGCAGCTAGTTTCACATAGCAAGTGATTCAATATAATTAAGATTTTCTGATTATATTCATCTGTTGGTTGAAGCCTCCATTGTCTAAACAATACATTTTTTTTTACAAGCATGGCATTCTATTCAAATTCCTTGGTTACATCAACAAACAAACTGATCATAGAAAGTGAAGTGATGAACACTATCCAAGAACCAATTTGAGCAAGAAGAAAGGATGACAAACCAGTAAGATCAGAAATTGTTACCAAAGAGATGATCTTCTAGAGATCCCAGCGCCATGTATTCATATACAAGTAATCTCTGGTCACCGTCAGCACAATATCCTATCAAATTCACTAAATTGTCATTATGTAAAAGACTGAGCATAAGAACCTCTACAAGAAACTCTCTGTTTCCTTGGAGACCATTTCTGTCCAATTGCTTAACAGCAACAACCTGCAAGCAAAACAAAACTGACTCTAAATAAGGAACAACATGCAGCTAAGGTAAGTTAAATTAACAGTTAAAATGTCGATAAGATTTTTTGAAATATAAGCCCTTGGATTCCATACAAAATCATATCAAGAAAGAAAGCAATATAGTTATAATACATTAGTTTTACATGGTAGTTCCATAACCATAGAATCAGATTATCAGAATCACGGTCCAAAAACCCCATCAATGCAGAAGATATGAGAAATCAAGACATATCCGGTCTTGTAGATATGCAATAGAATATAGCATAATAGATTAATCATTAGATATGAATCATCTTATTCCCTTTTCTCCTGCTTCATCAACCCCAAACTCAATCCTATAGAACATATGAGAAATTACGTAATGAGCACCAATAACCAAGGAAGCAGTACATAAAGAGCGACTCAGACAATGTTTGATAGAATCAGACTTTGATGTCAGTACTTTTAAGTCTTACATATCAAATTTACCTTGAAAGTAGAACAACTTCATAAGCTTCTTGATCTTAGAAAGTTAGAAGTCACCATATAGAGAGATTTATCATTACGAAAATGGGCTCTAAGTTTGTATGATCCACATCTTAGAAATGGTGGATCACAGCAGTAATTGCAAAATCATATTAAATGATTGTCAAGAATTGTTACCTGACCAGTCTCCAGCTGCCCTTTATAAACACGCCCGAAACCTCCTTCCCCAAGAAAGCATTCATCCCTAAAGTTCTTGGTGGCAACTGCAAGCTCGCGGAAAGTGAATGTATGAGCACTACTACTAATATTGGCCATAGGTCCATCATTGGGAACGGATGATTCTCGCCTTGGCCCGACATTGTTTCTTGCTTTCAGCCGATCAGCTCCTGCAGATTCACATTATAATTGGCTAATATAAATCATTTGTTATCATGAGAAACACCAGATTGCAAAACTCTTTTCTAGAGATGCAAAATCGAGTAATACACCAACCTATCAAACAAAGATTCGATCTTTCCACCGCAATGGATAGTCTACCATTCAATTGCAACGAGAATTAATTGATCAGATACTCAAAATTCATCAAGGGACATCTATAATTAGGCATTTTCCTACCTAATGGAACTTACTGAAAATAGTAAAAAGAAGGAATTTTACCAAATTAAGTCATGATACTTATTAAGTGAAACAATCCCAAAAAACTTTATACACTTTCAACAATCCGCACGGTCCAAGAACATTGATTCAGTATATAAAATTCCAAATCCACTAAAAAAGTACCAATTCTTTTGAAATCTTATTCCTTTTTTTCACAGAAAGTAAAATTCAGCTTAATACTACTACAATCATATCATAAATAATCAATCAAAAAGCCAAAAGTTACCAATCTCAATCATAATCAAAATCCGATTAAAAAAATTTAATAATTTTAGATCACAACAATTAACAAATTAATACAATAAAAAATCAAAGAAGATTATAGAACTCACCAGATGATAATTTGGAGATATTGGAATTAGAAGAAGGAGAAGCATCTTTGCGATCATCTTTCTCACCAGAAGTTGGATTCAATCTTTCTTCTTCCTTTGATTCAAAACAAGAAAAACACCCCATTTCCCAGTCAAACTATACACACAAAATTCTTAATTTATTTTTACAAAATAAAAAACCTCTCTTTGATTTCTTGATTCAAACAGAACAGTAATTACCCAAAACCCAGTTCTCAAAATCTCTTCTTTCAATCAATAATAATCACAATCACTAGAAATCATCATAAATCTTTGACTATATAGCATATAACATATACTTTATGAGAGAGAAAATAAGGAGATTTGAAGAGCAAAAGAAGAGAGAGAAAGGCGTGTAGGTGAGTTGCTTCAACTGAAGAAAACTTTGAGAAAGAAAAGAAAAGAAAATAGGGGAGTGTAAAATTAGGGGGGCGAAGGAAAGAAATGGAGAGAATGAAAGAAAGGGTGGTTTATGTAAAAAGTGAGATGAAGAGATTAATCAACCCAAAAATTCATTCTTTCCTGTCTTACTTGGCACATTTTTTACTCCCATGATTTGATTAATCACTTTGACTCAAATAAAATAATCTCTCCTAAACAACTATCTAAGATTTATTCTCTGAAATCTAGTTGGAATATTTTTGTAGGCAGTTGTATATATAGTTGGTAACTTCTTTAATTTCCTATCTAGGTTAGACTTTATAGGATTATCTAATTTATGTATTGCACGGGTCATTTTACTGTAACAGAAGAGAGATTGTGCAATACACTAAGTATGAATTTACACCAACTAAAAGATAACAACTACAACACCATTTTTAATGTTGTGTGCATAAGGCAACATCAATCATAGTATGAGTGGTTAAACTGGCGTAACGAAATCTAGATGCTTACTAAGCCTTTTCCATCCTCTATTAAATATTTCTCTCTCATTCCTCCTTGACAACTTTGTCTCGTCATCACCAATATAATTATATATTTATATACACATAGATTAATCAAGATTTAACAAAATTAACAACAATTGTCAGTAGAAATAAGCAACTAAGGGCCTGTTCACATT